AAAAAAAATCTGGTAAATTAAAACATTTCATAGAATTAACTGAATCTCTTCTGCTCGAAAACCAGGACAACTGCATTCTGCATAGACATTTTAACAGTTCAGCCCGACCTTCGGGACATTCGGGGATTCGAGAGTTTAACGGAATACCCCTAATATAAAGAAATATCAAGGGGCCCGCAATAAACTTACTTTTCCTTCATTTTCTGCAATTTCTCCTTGTCTTTCTTCTTTCGTTTCGGCTTCAATGCTGGATTATACTCTCCACGCATTTGAAATTCGGCACGTTGAACACGAATTTTATGACCGCGCAGGTTGTAGTCATCCAAGATGTTTAAAGCCAGGCCCACAGACTCCACCTACGTAAAGAGAAGAAAGAGAGATTAGTTACAGGATATTTAAAAAACATAAAATACTTTAATTTTACAAGGATAATTTCATAAGTTAAATCGTATTAGCAAGGAATGCCCGAAATTAAGCCAAAACTCTTACGAATTATTCCTCTATTTCAGGTCGAATGTTATCGTCAAAGCCGTCGGCAGCGAGGAACAGATCGTTATCCCCAAAACCCGCACTCAACGTCAAGGTGGAAATCGCGGACGCGGACGTGGTCGCCCTCACGACTTGCGGCGCCGCCCCCAAAACACCCAAACTAGACCGAGTGTTCATCCAAACGAAATCGATTCTGAATCGACCGACAAATCGACACCCACTTCATTAACAACGGCAGTACGTTATAACGAAATACCCGCTCCCACGACAACGGCTCCAGTTACAGGACCACGCCGGCATAGCCATCCACGAACGCCCCATGACCGCACCGTGTGGCGGCAACGACAGAAGGAGATGCGTCGGCTGCAACGTAAAAAAGAGCGAAGTCAACACATGCAACAGGAAAAGGAACGACGTCTGATCGAGCAACGTCAACGCATACGAGAAAATCAGTTGCGTATGCAGCAGCAACGCGAACGTGAGCAGCAAGTACAAGATCAAGAGCAACAGGACCAGCAACAAAAATCACATGAACAGCCAGAGCAACCGGAACAGTCCAACCGCGAAGTAGATGAACTGCGCCAGCGCGCCGACCAAGAACGTCAACGCCAGCAACAGCAGCAACAGGCAGAGGCCGAAGCCAAGCGACGCGAACACGAGGAAAGCCAGCGCGAATTGAAGGCACTGAAAGAAGAGCAGAAAAGGCGTGAGGAAGAGTATAGTAGCGCCGAGCGCATACGCCAGGAACGTATAAGTCGCCAGCGCGAACGCGAACAGCAGGAACGCAAAGAGCGAGAGGAAGCGCAGCGCAAGGCCGAAGAAGAACGCGCCAAGGACGAGGCAAAGCGGGAACAAGAACGTTTGGAGAAGGAGAAGCAGCAACGGGAGGAATACGAAGAACGCTTGAAACAGGCAGAGGACGATCGTGAACGACAGCTGCATGAGCAACAGGAACGAAAGCGCCAGGAAGACGAATACAACCGTAGGCGATTAGAAGAAGAGGAAAAACAACGTCAAGAGGAAATCAAGCGAGAGCAAGAAGAGGAAGAGAAGCGGCTGGAGCTGCAGCGACTCGAAGAAGCGCGTAAGCTAGAGAAACAAGAGCTGGAGCGTCTTGAGGAGGAGAATCGCCGCCGGGAAGAACTGCTGCGCCAACGGGAAGAAGAGATCGCGCGGCGCGAGGAAGAACAACGGAAATTCGAAGAGGAAGAGGAGCGCTTAAAGAAGGAGCTCGAAGAAGCGGAAAGACGACGCAAAGAAGAACACGAAGCCCAGATCAAGCAGGAGGAAGAAGCACTCAAGGCACAAGAGGAGGCCGAACGAAGAGCAGCGGAAGAGCAGGAACGTCAACGACAAGAACGATTTGAAGCGCTGAAAAAGCAAGAAGACGAGCGTGTGCGACAAGAGCTACAAGAAAAGAAACGCAAGTATGCAGAGCGACTCTCACGCCTCTCACCCGAGGACCAACGCAAATTCTTCGAAATGCGAAAAGGACGAAAGGCCAAGAAACTACAAGAATTACACAAACAGCAACAACAAGCGAATGGCGGCAACGAGGCCTTTGAAGACAAGTAGATAGAGCGCAGGAAATTCGCCAAATCAAATGATATTAGAATTAATGGGATAACAGCGGTGTTGAGCCGACGCTAAACAAGGAAATGAAGTCGCTGCTCGACTGTTGTAGCTTTGATTTATCCCAAAAACCTCGTTAAGAAATTAAGCTAAATATAAGTTATTTTAATTGTATGTATGTAAGTCATTGCTGCCATTCTCTTATTTCGAAACACGCTCAATGCTTCTTGTTTTTAGGTCTTCATAATAATTTTTTTTCTAATTTGATAAAATGCAAAAATTTAAGAAATAATATTTAAAAAAACAAAATGTATGTATGCGTTAATAATGCCACTGAAGCACTAGTATTAGCTTTAGTTGCAAACGAGCAGCGTTCCAGTAACGGCTACTGCTTGACAACAGTTGAAAGTACTCTCAATTGTAAATTACGAAAATAAAATATTTTATTCTCATATAGTTATTGATTTAGAAGTGGATCTACAATAGGCAGCTTAAGAAAAAAATAATAATAATTTAAGTAAACAATAATAATTTCAGAAAGTCGTAAAATAATAGTTGTTCGTTTGTTTGTAAATAGGAATCACAAAGATTGGAAAATAAAATTATGAAGAGTGCATGCACGACTCCTACCGTTTTGTAACTGTAATTTACGATTCAACACATGTACACATAGTGATTATACAAACATAATAGTTTTAATTCCATTTTATGTAATATTTATGTAAAAGCACTACCAACTTTTCCTTAAACACCCAATAATTTAACACCTAAGGGATTCACAAGATAAGTATGCAAATGTTCTACCAAAATTTTACACAGAATACATCTGCATAAGCACACATGTAAATACATACATAGATGCAAAGCAGGAACTATTAAAGAAATGCCATAAACAAAACATTATTTTGGGAGTTGTTTAGTTCTACTAAAAAAAAAAGAGTACTAATAATAACATAGCTGAGCAAAATACCAACAACTGCTTACGGCCAAACCAGTGACGACTGGTTCTTTTATGATTTCTTCCAACGAATTCGAACCGGTTTTAGAAATTATTAGGGCTCTAGTTTTTGAGATGTTTGCGATTTAAATTGTGAAAAAACGGATTTTTTCCATTTTTTTTTTAACTTTAAAAATTGTGTACTACTTCTCTCTTAGAATCTAAATTCATCTGTCAAATGTTTCGAAAATGTGTGAATAATTTGATCATACAAAACCCATTATACTCATTCGAAGGAGAATTAATTCCACCTTTAATCAAATCAGGACACTTCTTTTATGTTTTTTTTTGTTTGACTTGGGAACTTAACTTGAAAGGATTATTATTAGCAGTTTTTAAACAAAATTTTATGGATGTGAGGAAAAGATACATATAAGAATATAACAGATCGCATATGCCAAATTTTTTTTTTAAGAAAAACATGTATTTGTGACTAGATAATGTATGTGGAATCAAATTTTTCATATTTTTTTGATACTTTTGATCCCAAATAACTCGAAAACTAGAGCCACTTGAATAATTTGACGCACAGATTCCTAATCTATGGACAAAATCCTATAAATATTGTTGGGCTACACTGGCATACATTTTAATAATAAAAAAATTTTTAACGTAACTCAAAGTTTAGAACTATGAACATGATTTTGGAAGCTCATCGTTAATACCATAATATTACTAATGTAAGACTTTTGTATTTTTAATTTTTAAGAATTACAAAAATGCTGCTTAAATAGGTTATAAAAATGCCATTATTGAAACGATTCGCTTTTAACAAATTTTAAAATACAATTTTAATTTTCAATGTTAAAAGCAATACTTAAACGATATATGTATGTAGTATATTAACACAAATGTTTTGTATGCATTAAATACAACTATTAAACACTTTTTTAATGTATGCATATTATGTAATTGTTATCACTTTCAAATGTTACCATGGTTAAAAAATGCAAACGTTTGTAAATATTCAGATATGTACATACCTACATACATACCTAGTATATGTACATATACATATATGTATGTACACGTATCATAAAAAAGAGCGAAGGTTATAAACCCATTCGAAATGTGCAGCTAAATACATTTTTTTTATCTTATTATTACCTCACAGTATGCTTTTCGTCTTATAAATAAATATAAAAAATAACACATTCACACTTCATAATATGAAAGCAAATTGAATTCAATTTTAATACATGGTATATGTATTTAGGAAATGTTATGTAATTTAATAAAAGTATACACTAAAATATCGAGCACCGTAAATGAACTAACCATTGACTTTAAATTAAAATAGTCTAACGAAAATTTAATAGCGGTATGTTGTAAGTGTAACATGGTACATACATACATACAGTAACAACAAATAATACAAAAAAAATCTGCAAATCTAGCAAGTGTATGTGAAAAAAAAACCAACAATAAAGTTTTAAAAACTATACAAAAACACAAATTGAATATTGTTTGAATTTGGAATCAAATAGTACAATGTTATCTGGGAAGTTAAATGGAAAGTAAATGATCATGTCGTACGAATGGACGCTAACACTCCAGAACTGAAAGTGTTTCACGCGGATTCCGCTGCTGTTCTGCTATGGAAAGAGCTGGTGGTGAAGGACTTGGCGTCACTTTTCCTTTCCATCTGGTGTCACGCAGTATGGAACATAAACTTTTTACCTTCCTTTTATTAGCTTGGGATGTAACTATGTAATATTGATGCGCCTAAAAGATGCAGCGATTTCTATTCTCAAGTTACATACCTGAAGACAGTACGAATGGCAATTATAATAGGGAGGTTTTAGTTTTTTAAACTATAATTTTTTGTAATAAAATCAAATATCTCAGAAACGAGAACAGATCGCGAAGTAACTAAGTATGTATGTAATAATGCAGCGTCTCAAATATGCAGCAATTTCCATTCTTACGGTTACTTGAGGACAGTACGAATGGAAACCGCTTTCAACGACAACATTAAGAAAACCATTTGCTGCATATTTGTAGGCGCAGCAAGAATTACTTCACACTGTCGACGGTGTCGATTGCACAATTGTCGACAATGACGATTGTACAATAAATCAGTGAGAGTATGTTTGTATGTTTTCATAAAAAAAAAATATTTATTAGAATAAACAAGCTGGGTAGGCACTGTGGTAAATGGTAAAGTTCGTTTGCCACCTCCTGGCAAGATTGTAAGTCATGCAGAGTCCGCAAAATGCTCCCGAATCTGGCATCAAATTATAACCTAAGAAAGTTGTATTACATGGGCGTTGAGAAGTGCATGTGCGAAAATTTCATAAATTGAATGAAGTAAATTTTTGCACATGCAGCAGTACATAGCATGCATTTAAGCGTCCGGTGTTAGCAGTCCCGTCTAAACAATCGACGCATTTTAAAGTTAATAGAATTTTAGAACAAAGCGATGTGAACTAAAGGGCATGGACACAGTACAGCGGCTCATGCTATTGGCAATACTCAATATTAGTTACTACATTGACAATGAAAAGTTCAGAACAATTGGTATCAAGACCCCACGTTTTGTGTCCCATTAAAGTAAATTTTAATGTCAATCACTTTGATCCCATTTTAAGATAGTTTAAAAAGTTAAATCAAATCAAAATAAGGAAACTTCCTATTCCTCTAAAACGATACCTTTACATCTATAAATTATTTTTACCCTTTTTGTTCAGGTAATAAAAGCGTATTTTTAGTTTTAAACTATGATTTTATTTTAATCGAAATTAGTATGTATGAACTTTTTGAAAAGTTTTAACATACATTTTTGGTTTTCTTACCTCAATTCATTTCCATGATCACAAGAACCAAAAAATATATTTAACCCTCTTTGAAAACAACTACACAAAAATTATAATTTTGAAGTTCGTTTTAAGGTCAAGTTAATTTTTTATTCAATCAGACCTTTAAAATTATCTTCAAAAGCATTTTTGCCAAACATAATAAAGAATTTAAATAACTTATTTGCAGCTAGTTTGTATTTTTACACTTCAAAGCTTTACGCTTTTCTGAGTATCTATTAAGGTAAATAATAACTTCGCATTTATATAAACTAAATTAGCCATTGAAAAGTTTTTGTTACTCACTTTTATGTAGTCACACAAGCCATCGCCTTTCAACTGCCCATCCGGCTCGGCATATAGTTTAAGTTTATACTTTTGCGTCTGTGGATCGCGCATTATCATACCACATTTACCCATAAGTTCCGCGAACTCATCCATTGTGATGTCCAGCGGCAAATTGGAAACGTAAACTTTTGTGTTGTGCTCAGGATCCAATTCAAACCATTCTAAATATATATATATATATATATATTCTTAATTTTCTATATGAAATTGTTTTCACGTCCACACATTCGCAAATCGGCTCAATAATTTCAAATCTACTTACTTGGTGGCTCTTGTGCTTTTCGCTTAGCACCGGCAATCGTGGTTGTCGTGGCGTCACCAACTCCTTTTAACGCTGCGTCTGTCTCTTCTGCAGCGGCTTTTGCCTCCTCAGTCATCCGCTGCAATTCCAGTTCTTTGAGCTTTTCAGCTTCCTCGGCCTTGCGCCGCTTCTCCTCCTCTGACGCGCTGGTATTATCTATGAAGCCGTAATTCATCTGGTAGTGCGCCATAAAGTCATCATCGATTTTCGGAAACCAAGCATTCTTTGTGGCATCCCAGAAGAAGACTGTTCCATCCTTGTCTGTATAAACGCGATTTCCGTCCTCATCAATATCGTAAGCCACATTTGCGGGATCAGAAGTAGCAGGCTTTGATGTTCGATTTGTTTGCGCACCAATATCTTTTGGTATCCACTCACCCTTCTCAGCATCCCATTTGTAATGTTCGGTCTCTGTCGTTTGCACTTTAGGTATCCACTTTTCAGTCCGGCTGCACCATTTGTAGTGTTCATTCTCGTAGGGGTTGGCCGTGGTCTCTGCTTTAGAGTCATTCTTTGCCGTGTCGCAAGGGAGCCAAGTATTTTCAGTTTCACTCCACTTGTAGCGATATTTGGTTTTGGGGTCTGTGTAGATGGCGCTGCCATCTTCCTCATACGTCACGTGTTGCGCATAGTTCACATCCACATCCGTACCGGCGGAAACTGTTGGAGAAGAAGAATTCGCTTCATCGTTAACATCTGTGACAGCTGGATTTATAGAATTTTCCCTAAGTTCTTTGCTTGGGTTTTCAATAGCTGTGGAGGACTCCAAAGATCCTTTTTGCATTTTCACGGGGCAATCTTCTACATCTTCCTTTGTACTCGTCATGATTGTGCTTGGTATAGTACAAGCAGCATTCGTATCACTAGAAGAGGTAATTTCTTTTTCTTTGACCTCCGTTGATGTCAAACCATCCGCTGTTTTCTCATTCTGTTCTGTAGAAGTAAGAGGGCATTCTTTTAGGTCTGTGACCGCAGGATTTATAGAAGTTTCGCAAAATTCTTTGCCTGAGTTTTCAGTTACTGTGGAGGACTCCAAAGAATCTGTTTGCATTTTCACGGAGCAATCTTCTACATCTTCCTCTGTACTCGTCTTGATTGTGGTTAGTATAGTACAAGCAGCATCCGTATCACTAGAAGAGGTTATTTCTATTTCTTTGACCTCAGTTGATTTCATACTTTCCGCTGTTTTCTCATTATTTTCTGTAGAAGTAAAAGTGCATTCTTTTAGTTCTGTGGCAGCTGGATTTATAGAAGTTTCGCTAAGTTCTTTGCTTGGGTTTTCAATAGCTGTGGAGGACTCCAAAGAGCCTTTTTGCATTTTTACGGGGCAATCTTCTACATCTTCCTCTGTACTCGTCTTGATTGTGCTTGGTATAGTACAAGCAGCATTCGTATCACTAGAAGAGGTAATTTCTTTTTCTTTGACCTCCGTTGATGTCATACCATCCGCTGTTTTCTCATTCTGTTCTGTAGAAGTAAGAGAGCATTCTTTTGGTTCAATTGAGGTAGATGAAACTGATTCTTCGGACTTCGGTGTTGGTGTCGCAGATGTGGTTAAATAAGTGTTTATTTCTGGCTTGGTCACTTCTTCTTCAACATTCGAAGATATTTCTGTAACATCTCTTAAGTTCTCACTCATCTTGCATTTTTTATCTGAAAAAATAAAGTAAATAAAAAATACAAAATAAAATATTTCATTACATCGAGCAGTAGTTTGTTGGTCAACGAAAACATTTACAATAATTTCGAAGGATTTTATTAGAATCAAATAAGATGGTGGTACCACTACAAAACCCTTTGCAAAACTATATGTCAAACAATAGTATCAACCAGGTGGTCGTCGTAGCCGAGTGGTTAGATGTGCGTGCTACCACGGTTGACGTGGCCCAAAGTTATGCGGTAACATATGTACACAACGAAAAAATAAAAAAATTCCGACGAATTGATAACCATCTCCTTTTTTGAAGTCGGTTAATAATGATTTTGGTTCTCTCCACAACTCTAAACTGAACGAAGCGTAGGTTCATAATTTCGAATTCTATCAATCCGCTTTACTCAGTTTGAGAACTTTGAATTTCAAGGACACGAATAAGTGAGTATACAATTTACAAACTGTGCTTGTATTTTAAAATTTCAGATATTAAAACAATAAAGTGGTTTTTATTCTTAATAATGGTGCCTACGTACATACATACATATTTGTCAACAGTGTCGTTCAACAGCTCAGGCTAATGCAGCGGTGCGGGACAGATAGCATTAATTAAAGTGTTTAATTGCTTCAGGTAAGATTATAGTTTAGCTTGAACGAAGTTTACGCGCAAGTTTAACACTTCTCATCTTATAATATAAGACGGACGAAGGTATAAACTTTTCCAGTAAAAGTCACAAAAGGCATAAAAAACTATCATTAATGGAAAAAACTTGTAGACCTTAAAAAACATAAAATCCAGACTAAAATATATTATACATCGATTGTCCACCTTCAAAAAAAAAAAACACCAGATTTTCCTAATTTAACTGTACTATCAAAATTTCTCCCTTTTAGCTTTTTGATCAAATTATATGTATTGAAAGTTTCCATTGGTCCGAATATCCTGCTCCCTCTGAAGGTCAAAGGAAACTCGTTTACATTCGGTTTCCTGACTTGTTAATTTTTGTTATTCTTAGCCGAATTGTTAAAAATCAACCAGAGAAAAGGGAAAGCGGTTTGAGATCACCGAAAAGCAAAAGCTTTGCATGTATGGAAAACATACAAGTGTCACTTTACGGCGCTCAAGTACTTACACATACGTGAATAAAAGCTGCAGTTTAAATATGCCCAAAAAGTCATTGACCAGAGGCCAACTACCATCTAATATAAGCGTACATAAATATTTATATGGGCATGATGTTTTTCCTAGCTATGTATATAGTAAAAATTTGTATCTATTTCGGGTCAGAAATATTGATTGACTGTTGTTAATCTACACAAAAAGCACCTTAACTTGTCAAGTTAATAAGCCGGAGAGTACGAATTTTAGCCTCTCGTTTCGATTGGCAGTTAAGACATATCGTTTACTTTATGAATACATAACGAGCGCAAATTAGCCTATAGAATTTTGAATCCGAGGACAACCAACGGTCATATGCGCATTAATGTCTTGTCTTTTTAAATATATTAGATACTTATGTACATACTATGTGTATACAAAAGTCAATCAACTACAAAGGTTAATGTCCTACTCGACAAAGAAGTATTCTTCTGTAGCAGAGTACTTACTTACACACACATTATAATGCATAAGCTTAAAAAAGAAAGTTTACTACCGAAAATTACTTTGAAATGAAACTGAAACCAAAACTTTCACAACAAAAACCGCTAGCAAAACTGTTTTACTACCTTTCTGCAGTAAAAATATGCAGTTCAAGAGGTCAACGTCACTCGGGTAAAACACACACAAACTAAAACACCGCTCACCATAACTTTTGAGACTCAATAATTTAAATGAACATCAATACTTGCATACGTAGCACATTGTGTTGTATACACATGCATACAAGTGCACTTTGTCTATACTTTAATGGTTTCAAAAGTAGTTGAACCTACTAACTTGGCACAACTCCCCAACTTCCGTATAAGAGGTAACTATAACAAAAACCAGCTATCCTCTTACTGTTTTGTCTTTTTAGCCAATTTTCAAGCTGGCCGAAACAAAATTGCATATCTACCCTGCAGGGAAACCGTGGACTAGTGAATAAAATTTCTAGTTCCGTACAAGATCTTTATCGCTAAAAACGAACCAGTCCGATAGTAACTAGATCGCCACCAGTTCAAAAGCGGCGAAATGTGGTTCTCTTAAAAAAAAAAAAAAAACAATTTTATTTCACTTTTTTCATTAGAAATCTATATCTAAGGTGACGAATTTAGAACTGGTTGGGAATTATAGAAAAATGGGTGCAGGACGAACTATATCTTGTCTGTCGAATTTAGAACTAGTTCGGAGTTATCGAAAAAGGGATGCTTGTTTACTTTACATAGATATGTGCTTGGCGGCTTTTTCGTTCAAATGCACTTTCATTCTGCACTTCGCAGATGCTTTTTCATAGTTTGGTAATACAAAAGCAAAACTTTGTGTTAACATTTTAACATCTTGGGACCGTCTGGAATCTAACCAATAACGGCGAGCACCTCTGCAAAGTCAGCTACAGCCAAAGGTATGTAAACGTATGTAGTTTCAAATTGAAAAAAAATATTTCTATAAAATAATTTAAAATCGCACACGGAAGAACCGAAAAGACTGAAAAATCATGATACTTTTTTCTTTCGTCTGTCGATTTTAGTTCGGAAATATCGAAAAATGGATGTAGCGGTGGGCAATTCACACTTCCTAGAACATCACCGTGTTAAATTCGCCAGTCGTTTACATGCAAAAGAAATTTATCGCGAACCAGTGCTCGGTCTAAATGTACTAGAAGCGCACCAGTGCAGAACTAGAGATTTTTCCCACAGGGTACATGCACAAATTAGCATACTAATACATTGAAATATGTAGGAACATATGTATGTACTACGTGCATTGCCGAAATAGAGCCTGTCTCTCAGTTGGCCATTTTTCGGCTGAAATAGCAACTAAAGCTATTCCATGTCTACACATTACTGCAAATTCGACATGAAGGCAAGGGTGGGGTCGCAACCTAGTCCTGATACATGGCATCAAATAAAATGAAGTTGTACTTCTCTTTCAACGCCAGTGCTGCCAGTTGAGCTAGTTTGTAGCTAGATTTAGCTGTATATATATTAGCGCTGTCTTTGGCTATGCCGAAGGCTTCATCCCTTTTATGAAAATCTGAAAATTGTACTTTAACAGATTGCTGCATTTGAAATAATTTATATGTATGTTCACAGCATACATAGACAGAGGAGCTACATTTTTCAGATAATGTTTCACAACAAAATATTTTATTAGCAAAATGGTACAAAATTTGAATAAAATTTGCATCTGAGCTAATTATGTTTCTAACGGAACTTTTTGGAGCCATTTCAATTTTTTGGTCAAAGTCACTTCTCTCTTTTGTACAATTTAAAAACTGGAATGACGGTGCAATATACTAGAGATGTCAGTTTTCAAAAAACATCGATGCATCGATGCATCTATTTATACATCGAGTGGAAAATTGTCGATGCATCGAAGCAAAACATCGATGTTTATTGCCGACCATTTGACGATTATTGCCACCATTTCAAATTCCAAATCCCGAAAATCCCGGGATTATTTGCCAAGACTTAAAAAAGTCCGGTATGCATAACAGAGCCTTAATGCCGAGAGTTAATTCCAAACTCCGAGCTTTCACGTATTCCGCGACCATATGAAGAAATATATCCATACCTGTAAAATCATAGTTTCACTCTTTCAGAATAATCATTTTATTTTTGTTAGTGGTCAATAAATATGTATTTTGTACCAATTTTTGAAGCATCAGTTTTTTTGTACAAGGGTTGTTTGCAGCTCTCAAGAAAAACGAAAAATTCATATAACCGGGCCGTTACCAGGGCCGGATCGTGAGCTCGATTTTGGGAGGGGAAATAAGAATTATTATATTATACATATATTGTATATAAATGAATGAATTATTGCAAATCATATGTTTTGAGTCATATGTTTTTGAGAAATATACAGCGTAGTAATTTTAAAATTTCAAAATTACATTTCTCGACTGAAAAATAAAATATTCGAGCTAACTCGACGGCACATAGTGCGCTTTTTTAACACTTTAGGCCAATTAATTGTAGCGCTTTCGGCAGAAGAAATATTTTGATATGAAGCAAAATGACTTTGAAAGCTAATTTAATTGCCATTTAAGAAAAAATATTGCCATTGAGTCAAAATCACTCCTTGACCTTAAAAAAATTTATCAAAAATAGTGTTCTTTAAAAAAAACATGTAAAATCCAACGGACATTATTAAAACAAGTAAGAAAGGCTAAGTTCGGGCGGAGCCGAACATTAAATACCCGGCGCAAGTATTAAATATATGTTTTTTCACCCTTCCGAAACCTTCCGCTAGATGGTAAGCCGAGTTGTAACAATTTTGAGTAAATTAGCGTCCTTCAATTTCGAAATATTGAAGTTTCAAGCAATTCTTAAATTTACCGTTATATGAGAATCGGCCGTTAT